AAAAAAATATTTAAAATTGACAGAACCTTCCTAAAGTGCACAAAAAAAAACTCACGGAAAAAAGAACCGGGAACTTCAAATCGAGCTAGCATAGTTAAACAGCTCATCATATCTAGAACAAGTTTCATCCCTGGAGCGTTGTAATGACTAGAGACTGATCCCAATATGAAGACCCTGAACAGATGCAAAGTGTTCAGAAAACTAAAGTAGGCTACTGTAAAAAGTACAGACTAGCAAAAAAAATCGACATGTAACTTGAACGTTCGAAGATCCTTATTTGAATCAACATTTTCAGTAGCTGGTTTTCAGGCATTCTAGTGACTACAGGGACCTTTCAGCATAAACTTCTTGATTAGTCTTTTTATGGAACCGTATCCACACCATCTTTCGTGTCGGGGAAGTTGCAACAATTCCAGCAACAGCGTACTCTGTGTTGGCGAAGTCCCCAACAACAGCCTGGAAATGAAATGCCCTATACCTAGAAAAATTATACACGTTGCTCCTAAAGGAACCGCATTTGCTCATACAATGCAATCATGAGATCAACACTCCATCACAATACACTACCAATGAGTCGTCAAAACACTCTCATTCTTCGACAGGAAAAAAAACACGTTCACTACCCCTTAACTAGTAAGCAGAAAAAACTACCCTTTAAGACAAAAGAGTACAACCCATATTTCTTCCTAACGGTTTGTACTGTGCAAATCCTTATCCAAAAAAAAGAAAATGAGGAAAGTAGAGCACGCATTCAATTCAAAAAAATTATATTAATTACACATCAGTCATTACCAAATTTAAAAAAGGATTCAAAATGTGAACCAACCCGACCAAGTTTATCTTACCTTTGGTGATGCTCTTCTGTTTTTTTGTCATACTCCCGGAAACTCCTCTACAACGAGCTTTGCGAGCTGCTTTCGCCTGATTAACCTTTGCAGCTCGCAGTTTTTTCTTTTCAGTTTCAGTAACAGGATTCTCTAAAACGCAGATTCAACAGCAACAAATACGGAATCATCCGCAATAATGTAAAAACCGTCAATGCTTCAAATTTACACTAAATTATTAGTCGTTACATCACACCGAAATGTCACTGTTTGCAAGATTCCGCCATTTCAGGAAAGATGTTTACAAAATTAACTGCTAAACCGTTTACCATCTACGAAGAAACAGTGGAACTACCTAAACGAAAATACGCCCAACAAACAAGTACATTCCACCGAGAAAACTAATAAGGCAAAATTTCTAATACCATCACGTTGAATAGAGACAAACGGAAGACCGTGCTGAAGAGCATAATCTCTTTCTGCTGCTTCTTCCGGATCAGAATCTGTGTTTTCAGAATCGCTTTCAACACTTTTAGGCTGATCCTTCAATCAGACGAAAGTAAAGAATTAAATGATTAAAACTGTGGACGTACAGTGTCCTCACACATTATTGGAAACCATCTGTTTACTTACCTTAGACGTTTTCCAAGCTTCGGCACATTTTGATGTTTTTCGATCTCGAGGCATCTAATTAACGAACAAACTAAAGAAATTTTTTCGTGAGATTCAATCTTCTTTCCTCAAACTACTCAAAAGTAAGTCACTTCAAATGTATATTAAAAACCGCACGGGCTTATTATTCTGCCTCTTCATAAAAGTATTGCAGTTAAAAAGAAGAGAGCCATACAAGGCAGTTAGAAGCATTAATTTAGGGAATAAAAAATTGTGTGAAAAATGCGATGTCAATCTATTATGTATTGTACAGTGGAATGGTAAACAGGACCTTCAGGACAGCCTTACTAAGAAATCAAACGACCTCACCACACGAAAACTACTCTGTGCATAGCAACTTTTTTCGCCTACTTTTTTTAACAGTTACATCATACAAAACATTTATTTTAGGGATTATCATACACAAAAGAACGATGAACAAGAAGACGAAATGTATTTCAAAAACAATCTAATTAGAAAGAAAAAGTTGGAATGAATTTTTTGCTATTGCTCAGTACCACACAAGTGAGGAACAAAATGAACTTCTTGCTTTGTCATACCAATGCAAAATTTGCCATCATGAACTAAAGCTTTTTGAATAATTAAACGTCAAAAAAATTTTGTTGCCGATCACCTCATACCTGGAATTACTGCCTAAATAACAGCAACTGAAAAGAAAAACTAACTCTTTCAAGCTAAACGGCTCTAAAATTTTTGCTTGCATACGAAAAAAACACATTAATAAGCATTTCT